ACTCAGTTGACAAAAAAAAAAGTTTCTAATTGATTGATGTAACTTCCAAAAATTTATTAAAAATGGGCCAACTCTTCACAAAACGTGAAGAAGACTAGAACATAGACAGCTATGTCAGAATTTTAAATCTCAAGAAAAAGAAAAAAAGAGAGAAGGAAGCAAGAAGAAGAAACACAGCCATGGAAGAATCAGAACAAGCTCTTCCTCTATGTAAATTACAATTCTCAATTCTTATATTTTTCCTATAATTTCAATTGTTCAATCGATATCGAAGTATTAACAAACATTTCGTGACAGTAACAAGATCAAAAGATCTCACAAACCCATCATCGGCCTCATCATCTTCGTCATGGGAACAAAAAGACGAAACAGAGGATCCCTGTTTACCAATATCTGCTGGAAACTCCGAAGAAGAAGAAGAAGAAGAAGAGAACTCTCCAATCCGACAAGTAGCACTTACAGTTCCGACAACAGACGATCCTTCAGTACCTGTCCTAACATTCCGCATGTGGGTCTTAGGAACTCTCTCCTGCATCCTCTTGTCGTTTCTCAATCAGTTCTTCTGGTACAGAACAGAGCCCCTTACTATCTCCGCCATCTCCGCCCAAATCGCAGTTGTGCCTCTCGGTCGTCTCATGGCGGCTAAAATCTCCGACAGAGTCTTCCTCCAAGGGTCAAAATGGGAATTCACTTTGAATCCTGGTAGGTACAAATGTTAAGAATCTTACTTCAGATGTTTCTTGATTCTTGATTAGATTACAAGAAAGTTGTTATCATTTGATTACTTTCAGGTCCGTTTAATGTGAAAGAGCACGTGTTGATCACTATCTTTGCTAACGCCGGAGCTGGGTCTGTTTACGCAATTCACGTCGTCACCGTTGTGAAGGCGTTTTATATGAAGAACATAACGTTCTTCGTCTCTTTCATTGTTATCGTTACAACCCAAGTTCGTGTTTTTTAATTAGACTTTTTTTCTGGGAAGTTTTTTAATTGTTTTAATACGTTGGATCGAGTTTATGGTTTCTGATCGGTTAAGTGTGATTTATGTTTAGGTGTTAGGGTTTGGCTGGGCCGGAATATTCAGGAAATATCTTGTTGAACCGGCGGCGATGTGGTGGCCGGCGAATCTTGTTCAAGTCTCACTTTTTAGGTAAATACACTTGAGTTTCTCTCTTGAGTTTTCGATATTTTCAATATGCTAGAACAAAAGGAAATAATTGTCTTTTGGCCAAATGTCAGAAAAATTACGGAGATTTCATTGCAACTCAAATGATTGGGGTGTGTTTTAACTTACAACCGTAAATAGTAGATAATATATATCCCATTACCACCTATCCAAAAATAGTTTGTATATATGAATAATTCAAATTAGAAAAAAAAACTGAATTTTAAACTCAAAAACTTCTCTATGCCTATGAAAAACCTATTTTAGTAATTAGTATTTTTCTTACAAGGGTTTTCATTTGGGCATAGGCGCATAGTATTTTCGTAGAGTAAGTGAAATTTATTATTATCATAATTATTGTGGTTAGTGGTTACTTTTCTAAAGTTGGTAGATTAAACATTAATAATAATATGATAACATCTATGATATGGGACCCACGTTTTACGGTATCTGTTCTAATTGTATTGGATTTTTTTTGTTAAAGATTCTAATTGTATTTGATGTCTTCGAAAAGTACAATCTTACGACGTTTTCTATAAAGACATTTTTGTAGTTATTTGATCTTAACGTTAACGATAATAATTATATTAATGAAAGAAACACATTTGTGCGGTACTGTAGTTGATATAAAATTATTAATATATTAATTTTATTAAATATGATTTTATAACAGATGATATATTTCTCTTTCAAAGAAAAAAGATATATTTCGTCTATCAATTATTTGTAGATTCAGACCGGATTACTTTCGAGTCAATTGTGTCAATAAAGGGAAATAACCCCACATTTGGTAACAACAACTAACAAGAGAGCTCATCAAAATAAATTGCTTTTGTGGTTGGCTAAAATGACAGAGCCTTACACGAGAAAGAAGAACGGACCAAAGGAGGGCTGACACGTACACAGTTCTTCCTAATATCATTCGTATGCAGTTTCGCGTATTACGTGTTTCCAGGATACTTGTTCCAGATCTTGACGTCATTGTCGTGGATCTGCTGGTTCTTCCCAGCATCAGTCATGGCCCAACAGATCGGGTCGGGTCTTCACGGGTTAGGTGTTGGAGCTATCGGACTCGACTGGTCAACGATCTCCTCTTACTTGGGTAGTCCACTCGCTAGTCCATGGTGAGTCCCAACTTACTCATTGCTTAAAGCCATAAGTATGTGTGTACAGACTGGAGATAAACCGAAACAAAAAGATGAAACCGAAATTTGTTTATAATCCAACCGGTTTATGATTTTATGTCCAACAAATTGAACTAAAACCGAATTTCGTATAAGTGAATAATTTTAGCTACATTAAAATAGTTAAACACTAAACCAAAGAAAAAACCCAGTTATGCATTTTCAAATTACACTAAACCGAATAACAGAATGTCCACTGGTTACGGTTCTGATCTTGGTTTAGATTCAATATACTTTCGTATTACAAGAAATAAGTTTGTTTTTAACAGGTTTGCTACGGCTAATGTGGGTGTGGGAGCTGTGCTGGTGATATACGTTTTGGTACCGATATGCTATTGGTTCGATGTGTTTAAGGCCAAAACCTTCCCTATATTCTCGAGCTCTCTTTTTACAAACGAAGGTTCAAAGTACAACATCACATCCATTATAGACTCTAATTTCCACCTTGACCTCCAAGCTTACGAGCGTGAAGGCCCTTTGTATCTTAGCACTTTCTTCGCCATTAGTTACGGTGTTGGCTTTGCCGCTTTAAGCGCTACTATCATGCACGTCGCTCTCTTCCATGGAAGGTATATATAAGCTCATGGCATTACATATATATATCATGTATATCTTTGGACTTGGGACATGAATGGTACTTCTTTTCTTGCTTTTTGTTAATGCCCTTAATGGAATAATTGCAGAGAGATATGGGAGCAAAGTAGAGAGAGTTTCAAAGAGAAGAAACTAGACGTACACGCGAGGTTAATGAAAAACTACAAGCAAGTACCAGAGTGGTGGTTTTGGTGCATACTTGTTACCAATATTGGAGTCACAATCTTTGCTTGTGAGTATTACAAAGACCAACTTCAGTTACCATGGTGGGGTGTTATCTTGGCATGTACAATCGCCATTATCTTTACACTTCCTATTGGTATCCTCACCGCCATAACCAACCAGGTAATGATCAATATCTAAAATGAGTCGACTATATGTTATAATAAGAGCCTTATGTCATCTATTTCTTGTGATCCAATAAATATTTTGTAGGCTCCAGGATTGAACATTATAACAGAATATATCATTGGATATATCTATCCAGGATATCCAGTTGCAAATATGTGCTTTAAAGTATATGGATACATAAGCATGCAACAAGCAATCACTTTTCTTCAAGACTTCAAACTTGGTCATTACATGAAGATTCCACCTAGAACCATGTTCATGGCACAGGTTACTTACACTCTACGTTACACCACTCTCTTAATGTTATACTAAAAGTTATAAATAAATCGTTTTTTTCTTCTTCAGATTGTTGGAACACTCATCTCATGTTCGGTCTATCTCGTAACGGCTTGGTGGCTAATGGAGACAATCCCAAACATATGTGATTCAGTGACTAACTCGGTTTGGACTTGTCCAGGTGATAAAGTCTTCTACGATGCATCTGTGATATGGGGACTTATTGGACCACGTAGAATCTTTGGAGATCTTGGTTTATACAAATCGGTTAATTGGTTCTTCCTCGTGGGAGCTATAGCTCCGGTTCTTGTTTGGATAGCTTCAAGGATGTTTCCTAGACAAGAATGGATCAAACTTATAAACATGCCGGTTCTTATCAGCGCGACAAGCTCGATGCCACCAGCAACAGCCGTGAACTACACGACATGGGTTCTTACCGGTTTTTTATCCGGTTTTGTTGTGTTTAGGTACAGACCGAATCTATGGCAGAGGTATAATTATGTTTTGTCTGGAGCTTTGGATGCTGGATTAGCGTTTATGGGCGTTTTGCTTTATATGTGTTTGGGGCTTGAGAATGTGAGTTTGGATTGGTGGGGTAATGAGCTTGATGGTTGTCCTTTGGCCTCTTGTCCAACCGCTGCTGGTATTATTGTTGATGGTTGTCCGCTGTATACGTAAAAAAGCGTTTGCGACTGGATTCGATTGGGAAATGGCGAAGGCGTTTGCAATGCTAAAGTTTGGCTGGTGGATTTGGTTGCCTATGGTTGACAAAGTCATATTTTTTTTCCTTCACTCTCATATTCATTGTGAGATTGTTGTATATATGCAAATGCAACACTTGTATAGTCTCATATTCTTATTATTTGGTTTCTTCCTCTTTGTAATTCAGTCTTGCACTTTTGAAATTTCACAATCGAATTGAAACAAATTGGTTTTTTTCTTCTTCTTGTTTCAGTTGAAAATCAACTCAATTCAGTTCCGTTATGTGTCATTCCCCGCTTTTGCATAATTGTAGTGTACACTTTGCATAGTGAAGAAATGAGAACTCGTTTGTCAAAGTCTGATTCATTTAGAATTTTTTATATATAAACTTTTGGAAATTTTTTTTCATTATTTGAACAACAATATTTTTATTATCTTTTTCTTTAAAATTAACAGCAATTAACATTTTTTAAGTCGATTTAGTTAAATGGATATATTAAAGATTTATTTTCCTATATATTAAAGAGTTTATATATTAAAAGTTTAGTTGATGTATTTTTAAAATTTTCCAAATTTTTTGCAAGCTTGACCTAAAAAGTCTAAAACTATCCATATGCATTACGACATCGTTTTCACTAAACCCTTTTTAACTCATTAAGCACGAGACTGCACAAAAGTCTCCATTGATTTCTGTTTTTGAAGCTTCGGGTAAATTAATTGGAGCAGCCATGGAAACTGAATCGGAGAGAAACGATGACGCCACCATTACCACCGTCAAAGACATGAGAGCTCGATTGGAGAATCGAATTCGTACCCAGCACGACGCACACTTGGATCTCCTTTCGTCGCTCCAACCCGTCGTTCCCGACATAGTCCCGTCGCTCGATCTCTCTCTCCGACTCATCTCTTCTTTCACGAATCGACCTTTCGTCGCCACGCCTCCTTTACCCGAACCCAAGGCGGAGAAGAAGCACCATCCAAATGTTAAATCAGAAAGCCAACAACAACAACAACGAGGCCATGAATCGAAATCGATGCTTATCAATTCGAATCAGAGAGATTCTGGTTCTGGCGCCGAGGCAGATGGGTCTAGTGGGAGTCCTATGGCGCTAGTGAGAGCGATGGTTGCAGAATGTTTACTTCAACGAGTACCGTTCACCATGACGGATTCCTCTACTGTGCTAAGGAAGCTTGAGAATGACCAGAACGCGAGACCGGCGGAGAAAGCGGCGTTGCGTGACCTAGGTGGAGAGTGTGGGCCGATTCTCGCCATAGAGACTGCTCTTAAATCAATAGCGGAAGAGAACGGCTCCGTGGAATTGGAGGAGTTCGAGGTGAGTGGAAAGCCTCGAATCATGGTCTTGGCCATTGATCGAACCAGATTGCTCAAGGAGCTACCAGAGAGTTTCCAGGGGAATAACGAATCGGGTCGGGTCGTGGAAACCCCTAACTCGATTGAAAACTCTACGACAGTCCCCGGCGGGTTTGGGAATTCCGGGTCGGGTAATAATTTCCAGAGACCCGAGATGTGGTCGGGTGACCCAAACATGGGGTTTAGGCCGATGATGAATGCACCAAGAGGGATGGGAATGATGGGGATGCATCATCCAATGGGGATGATGGCTCGACCACCACCGTTTCCGATGCCTGTGTCGTTACCGGTGCCGGTGAATCAGAAGCTTAGAAGCGAGGAGGATGACTTGAAAGACGTTGAGGCTCTTCTGAGCAAGAAGTCTTTTAAGGAGAAGCAACAGTCACAGGCAGGTGAGGAGTTGCTTGACCTCATCCACCGTCCAACCGCCAAAGAAGCCGCCACCGCAGCTAAGGTGAACACAGTTAAACGCTCTTTAGGTTTTAACCAACTAAACGGGTAGTTAAAGTTATGCTTTTTATACGAATGTGAATTTGAGTTTACACGGGACTGAGAAAGAACATGGTATTGTTCGAAGCTGTATTAAGTTGGACTTAGATAACGTATGATTCGTGAACAAGTTTTGGAGATGCTATGAGCCGTTTTATGATACTTAGTACTTTGTTATCAATTGATAAGAAGGAGAAAAAAAACACTTTACCTGTCTCACAATGTTAGTTGATCAAAGAATAATGTATGTATAGTTAGTTCTCAAGAATGGAAGTTCTCAGCATTGTGTTGGAATTGCTGTAAGGTGAAATACAAAGCGTTACATAAGTTAGATGCGTGTTTTTTCGGTTTAGATGATGATAGTTATGGCTTCTCTTCAATGTGGCTCAGATGTTTTGAAAGCAAGGAGCTTTCTATCGAAAATAATCACCTTATTAGATCTAGATGCTTAATGTTTTTGATCTGTTCATCTTCGTAACATCTACACTTTCTAGCTTACCATTCAATACTTGTTTGCTTTGCCTCTCAGTGTGGGGTTTATAGTTTTTGACATCTGGTTTCTACTTTCTAGTTTCAATTTCGATGTAGTGAAAGCAGAGTCCTCTTTGCACTAAATTGGTATCTTGTGATCAACGTCCCTGCCAGATTTTCAAGCCTCAACTCGTCTAGCTGTTATGTTTTGCTATTTTTCATTTCATCGTTTAAGAAAGGATTGGTTTTAACGAATGACGGGTATATTGTTATGTTATGTTACAGTTTAAAAGCAAAGGAGGATCACAGGTGAAGTATTACTGTAGGTATTTAACTAAAGAGGATTGCCGTCTTCAGTCCGGTTCCCACATAGCATGCAACAAGGTTTGAACCAACTTAACTTCACATCTTACTTCTAATTTATCAGAAATTCGGAATGCTATATAGCGAACAATTTGGCATTGGTTTTTAATTCTATATTTGAGTTTTAAATTGGTGTCTATATGATGCTTTACCGAAATATACTTGACATATATGCTTTCAGAGACATTTCCGTCGACTAATCGCTTCACATACCGACGTCAGCTTAGGAGATTGTTCCTTTCTGGATACTTGTCGTCACATGAAGGTAACTCTCTAACAATATAATCTGATAGCACTTAGGTTCGTTTTTTTTGTAAGTACAAATGGTAATATCGCAATGGTTATTCTGTATTTTTGAACAGACTTGCAAATATGTGCACTACGAGCTCGACATGGCTGACGCTATGCTGGCGGGTCCAGAGAAGGCATTGAAGCCTCTACGTGCTGATTACTGCTCTGAAGCTGAACTCGGCGAGGCACAGTGGATTAACTGCGACATACGTAATTTCAACATGGACATTTTGGGCACGTTTGGTGTTGTGATGGCGGATCCGCCGTGGGACATTCACATGGAACTTCCATATGGAACAATGGCTGATGACGAGATGCGCACTCTCAATGTTCCCTTGTTGCAGACTGACGGTTTGATTTTCCTCTGGGTCACCGGTCGTGCAATGGAGCTAGGCCGTGAATGGTACCACTACTCTTCAACAAATTTTGAGATTTCCATTTGAAATGAAGTTGTCTTTATGTTTTGTTTTGTGAAGTTTGGAGCATTGGGGATACAAGCGAGTGGAAGAGATCATATGGGTAAAGACGAATCAACTTCAGCGGATTATTCGAACGGGGAGAACAGGTCACTGGCTTAACCACAGCAAAGAGCATTGTCTGGTAGGAATCAAAGGAAACCCGGAAGTGAACAGAAACATCGACACAGATGTGATTGTTGCGGAGGTCAGAGAGACAAGCCGGAAGCCAGACGAGGTTTGTCCTTATTCATTGATTTGAGATTGTTACCATAGTCGTCTCTTGTATTGCGATGAAAATTGATTTAACCAGTTTGTGTTACCTTACCAGATGTATGCAATGTTAGAGAGGATCATGCCAAGAGCAAGAAAGCTCGAGTTATTCGCCCGTATGCACAATGCTCATGCCGGGTAAAATTATCTTACTTCTTTATTGTCATATGATTAGTGAACAGTAACTATGACATGTTTGCTGATTTTGTTGGTCGTCAATATGTATAGATGGCTGTCACTTGGTAACCAGCTTAATGGAGTCCGGTTAATAAACGAAGGTCTTCGAGCTCGGTTTAAGGCGTCATACCCTGAAATAGATGTGCAGCCACCTTCACCACCAAGAGCTTCAGCAATGGAGACAGACAATGAGCCAATGGCTATTGACTCAATCACAACTTAGTCTGATTTGAAAAACTTAGAACCAACGGTTTAGTACTTTAGCTTTGTTGGATCTAGACCGTTGAAATTGTAATGTATGATGAGTTAACGACCGTTGATTTATAAAGAGTTAGCATTTGTGGGCATGATTGTAAATCTTTGTGAGAAATGAAAAGGAAGAAGCTTATTAACTAAACGTAAAAAGTTGTTCTTACAAAACTGACCAAACAACAAACATTAATTTATTATTTTTTGATGAAATTATAGTACGGAAAATGCTCATTCGCTCCAGTACTTCTCATCGTCAACATCCTTTCCGTGTTCCAACGAATCCTCACCGTCCGATTCGCTGACCAAGCCCATCTTGAACCTCCTCACGTCTTCCACAGCTGCGCTCCTGAACAGCCCAACATCGACGGCTCCGGCGACCATACTGTAACCACGTTCCCGGATCGCGACGGCTCCGTCGTGTGGCATAGCGAATCCCGATAAGTAGGCCCCACCTTTTGACGGATCTGAGGTCAGCACCGATTTCTCCGCTTTCCTCATCATCTCTCTCACTTTCTTGTGTCCTGGGTCCCACAGATACCCCATGCTTGCGCTTAGATCCAACGGTCCCATTTGCACGCAGTCGACACCATTGACGGCTGCGATCTCATCTGCTTTCTTCACTCCCTCAGCTGATTCCACCTGACACATGATCAGAAGCTCGTCCGCGTAATTACCTAAATACCCTTCGTCGATTCCGTACTTTGAAGCTCGAACCACCGTGTGCGCCGATCCACGGATCCCGTCGGGAGGAAACCGGCAATACGACACCGCCTTGGTCGCGTCCTTGCGAGACTCGATCATTGGGAACATGATTCCCTGTGGGCCTAGATCTAGGGCTTTTTTAGCCCAGGTAGGGCAGTTTTCCGGTAACCGTAGAATGGCGGCTGTTCCAGCGGCGTTAAGAGCTCGGATGCAATCTAGAGCCTCCGGTATGCCGCCGTGACCGTGTTCCATGTCAACGACGACGTAATCGTACCCGGAGTGAGCAGCGATCTCGGCAAGAGTCGGCGAGAAGGAGAGTAAAAAGAGGCCGTAGAGTGTTTCTCCTCCACGGAGACGGGATTTCAAGGAGGTTTTGGATCGACTGTCGATTCCCTCCACGGTAGGTGGAGACACGGCGACGGCAGGCGAGCTATCGGCGGGAGAGAAAGAGTATCGGATTGGAGTTAGGGTTTTGCGAGAAAATGAAACAGAGGATCTGACGGAGCTGAACTTTGTCGGAGATAGTTTTCCGGTGATTAGAGAAGAGGAATTAAGCAGAGGTGTCACGTCCGTGTTGACGGTGGAGAAGATTGAAGCGGTGGCCATGGTTGGTGAATTGGGAAGGAGAAATGTAAAGAGTTTTTGCTTTGTTGGTTTCAGCTTAAACTGTTTTAGTAAAGAAATTAGTAATCTCTTCTCATCGTTTCGGATCTAGAAACTTAAACTGCATGCTGTTTTTTCTCTCCTGGCCATTTTAGAGTATTGAATGTTTAAGGTTTAAACTATTGAAGCAACACACTAAGCTTTTTATAGATAGCTAAAATCTTAAAATCTAACTCAAATGTTTGTAAAACAACAAAATTATCTAAAGTCAATCATGATTAACTATAAAACAGTATAAGATTATGAGCTTATGACCATATTTAGTTATTTACACTGTTGTGTCTCGTACCAGAACCGGTGGTTGAAAAAAAGAGCGAAATCACGCAACAAGTAAAAAGAAGATAAAGAACATCTCAACCTCTACATGCACCAACCAGACTATTTGTGACTTTGTATAATAACAGACCTTAAGTATTCAAACGAAAGATCACTTTTAGATTATATCAGTACTAGTATAAAGATAAACCATGTTGTAAATTGCAACCTGTAAAATGTCCAAAATTTCATAGTAGATGAATTATGTTTAGTTTTTTTTTTTTTTTTATCAATAGTTTCTTCTCTCATAACGGTTCAGGGATCCAAGCCGGTGGAGTCGAGTTTACATAGTGTAATGAGTAAAGATAGTTGCGGGCACTCTGTGTAAGCTTGTCTGCCTTTGTGTTTTGAGCGCGTGGGATGTACGAGATTGAGAAAGAGGTGAACTCGTTCTTGCTGTTCTCAAATTCCTCCAAGTGTAAAGCAAAGACCGGCCATTCCTCGGGTTTAGACACCATCTTCACCAGTTCGGAACAGTCTGTAGCGAAAGCCATCACTAGCCTTCCGACGTCGAGCATGCTGTGCATCGCCCAAATTAAGGCTTCTAGCTCTGTGTGTAGTGGGGAAAGGCTTCGCCGTACCTTTTTTGCCCCCATCAACGTTGTTTCGGTTGTTAAACCTTGACAATACCATCCTAACCCGGAACTATCCTTTGTCGCCTTCCATGATCCATCCATTTGACATGTTAATCCATCATTCACCATCGGCACCGTTCCTGTAGTGCCTATATAGGCATCCGGAATACTTATGTCTTCACCGGGATCATTTTTCTGTTGAGCTAAAAACCAAGCTGCCGATTCTGCTTGAGCTGTTTTTAGAACTTCCCTAGGATCTCTGTCAATGTTGGAATATATTTTATCATTCCTTGCTTTCCAAATATACCAAAGTAACCATGGGAATACATCCATATCCTCTGAATTGGGTAATTGCCAAAAAAGATGAGCAATATTTGTATATAACGCTGTTGTTGGGAATTCCATTGCTGGTGTCGGTATTACCGAAAGTGCCCAAACCTGGAGAGCCGGTGGGCATTCAAAAAGGGTATGATTAATGGTTTCCCTTTCTACCCCACATCTACCACATTGTGGATCACAATTCATTCCTCGGTTGTTTAATCTGTCAAAGACCGATATGCAGCCGGAAAGGAGTTGCCAGAGGAAGTGTTTCATCTTAGGGGGGCATTTAACATTCCATGCATGGCCTTGTAATTTAGTTATGTCTGGTCCATAGAATCTCTGCAGTGGGCTATTATTTTGTATCTCCTGTTGAAGATTATACCCCGACTTCACCGAATATTTCCCCTTTTTTGTGTAGTACCATATTTGTGAATCTGGTCTATTTGCCGTTGTTGTTGGAATTCCCATAATGTATGGAATATCCTCTGGGACAATGAGCTGTTTAATCAACGGGATGTTCCATGTTTTAGTGGAAGAAAGTAACAAATCTTTTACTTTAAGATCAGAGTATAAATTGTACCCCTGACATGTTGCTGGTCTCGGACAAGTAGTCGGGAGCCACGGGTCATTCCATACAGAGATGGAGTTTCCGGTTCCGACTCTTTTAATAAGTCCTTTTTAACCAGAGATCGAGCTGAGATAATGCTCTGCCAACCATAAGAGGCAGAATAAGAGCGTATAGGATCTAAAGGTCCTCCATTTCGATAATACCGTCCTTTGAACACTTTGGCAAACAGCGACTCAGGATGATCAATAAGTCTCCAGAGCTGTTTGGCCAATAAAGCCGTGTTAAAATCCTCGATTATCCTAAAGCCCAGTCCTCCATCCATTTTATGTTTGCATAATTTTTTCCATGCCAACCAATGCATACCCTTAGTTTGTCCATTCGTGCTCCACCAGAAATGGGCTACCATGCTTGTCAATTTTTTCGTGATCGTTTTCGGTAGACGAAAACATGACATAGCATATGTCGGTGCTGCTGTAGCAACTGATTTGATCATAATCTCTTTCCCTGCCTTTGAGAGTAATCTTGAAGTCCACCCATTTATCCGTTTTTGTTGTCGATCAACTATATGGCCGAAATTTTTTGTCTTAGCACCATCCAATCTCTCCGGTATCCCTAAATAATTGCCCATCCCCCCAATATTCGTAATCCCCAAAGTATGTTGGACCATCTCCTTATTTATTGGGTTAACTGTGTGGCCAAACTGGACCGAAGATTTGGTAAAATTAATCTGCTGTCCTGATACTGCCTCATATTGTTTGAGAACACTAAGGAGTACCTCTGTCTCTTCCTTAGTAGCCTTACAGAAAATAAGCTATCATCCGCAAAAAATAGTTGTGTAATTGGTGGACATGCACGTGCTACCTTCATGCCTGTAAGAAGTTTCATCCGTTCTGCTTTCCTCAGATTCGCTATTAAAACCTCTGTACAGAGAATAAACAAGTAAGGTGATAAGGGGTCTCCCTGTCTTAAACTTCGTTTGGGTACAATATGTCCCCTAGCATGGCCATTAATCAATACCCTGTATTGCACCGATTGTATACTCTACATTATCCATGTAATCCATTTTTCCGAGAAACCCATTTTTCGAAGCAGGTGTTCTATGAAAGGCCATTCAATACGATCATAGGCCTTGCTTATATCCGTCTTAACTGCCATATAATTACTTTTGCATGACTTATTCGTGCGTAGGCCATGAAACATCTCTTGGGCAATTAAAATATTGTCTGAGATTAGATGTCCTGCTACAAAAGCCGATTGCGTTTCAGAAACTAATCTAGGTAGGAGTCTGCGTAGTCTTTGACATAGTACCTTTGAGATGATTTTGTAGCCTACATTACATAGGCTAATTGGCCTCATTTCCACCATACTTGTTGGTCTTTCCACCTTCGGTATGAGACAAATATTTATCACATTCAATCGCTGATCAAAAGTTCCGGTTGTTAGAAAATCGTTCACCATTTGTACCATTTCACCCTTTATTATTTGCCAAGATTAGTTTTTAATTCACTATCTAAAACTCTTAATTATAAAAAGAGATGTTTGGTAGGATGCATAGCTACGTGTAGCAAATTAGCTGACCACTTATTTTTCAAATGTCTTTTATAGCTTTAAATGTGGCAGTTGTCACATATTCTAAAGATTCCAAATTTTTTTCTGGATAATGGTCTTTTTTACAATATTAATCATTTTGGTGAAAAAGTTAGGAGCAATAGAGAAGCACATCAAGATTTTTCCCATCAATTATATGGTACATTTGAGAAGGTAGAAATGATAGTGTTTAATGGAAGGATATTTCCCTTAAATGATATCATTGATATAGTGATCCAA